GTGTGAGTCCTTTTTTCTGATGTGGGTTTCCTGTAGACAGCAGATATGTGGGTCATGTTTTCTTATCCACTCAGTTACCCTATGTTTTTCATTGGGGCATTTAATCCATTTACATTTAAGGTTATTATTTATAGGTACTTGTTTGTCGCCATTTTTATTTTTTGCCCCTGTTCCTTCTTCACTTCCTATTTCTTCTTTTTACAGCAGACCCTTTAGCATTTCTTGCATTGCTGGTTTGGTGGTGGTAAACACTCTTCGTCTTTTTTTTGTCTTTGAAGCTCCTGATTTCAACCTCGATTTTGATTGATAGCCTTGCTGGGTACAGTATTCTTGGATTCAGACCCTTCCTTTGCATGACTTTGTATATTTCATTCCATTCCCTTCTTGCCTGATGTGTTTCTGTTGAGAAATCAGTCGCTAGTCTGATGGGGGATCCTTTGTAGGTAACTTTCTGTCTCTCTCTGGCCGGTTTTAAAATTCTTACTTTGTCGTTGGTGTTTGCCAGTTTAATTATAATGTGCCTTGGCGTCAGTCTTTTGGGGTTCATTTTGTTTGGGACTCTGTGAGCTTCTTGGATTTGTGTGAGTTTTTCTTCCCTATATCTGGGAAGTTTTCTGTCATTATTTCTTCAAACAGGTTTTCTATTCCTTGCTCAGTTTCCTCTCCTTCTGGCACCCCTATTATGCGGATATTGTTTCATTTTCTATTGTCCCAAAAGTTCCCTTAGCCTCTCCTTCTGTTTTTTAAGGATTTTTTTCTAGATGCTGCTCTGCTTGGGTGTTTTTTCCTACCTTGTCTTCTAGCTCACTGATGTGGTCCACTGCTTCTTCTAGTCTACTGTTGATGCTTTCTATTGAGTTCTTTATAGCAGTGATGTCATATTTCATTTCTTCTTGGTTCTCCTTCATTTCCTGTTGGTTTTTACCTATATTGTTGAATTTGTCTTCCATTCTTTTCAGCGACCTTATGACCATTTCTTGAATTCTTTCTCTGACATATTGATTGCCTCTATTTCATTTACTTCCTTTTCTGGTGATGCCTCCTTTTCTTTCATATGCGGGCTGTTTCTTTGTCTCCCCATGAGGTCTCTCCTCTTAGTGTCTGGTTATGTAGCTCTCTCTCTCCCCTGCATTGATTTAAAGGCACAAAATACAACACAACAAGGCACAACGCACAAGGCACTGAATACAAATGTATTCATGATACTAATTACCCCAAATAAAGGTCACCACCAGAAAAAAGAGAATTAGGGGATAAGAAAAAAAAGGAGTATAAAAATGATACTGACAAAAGTAAAAAAAAAATGAGAGAAAAGAAAGAGAATGAAATAGAAGGGGCGGGAACTATATGGGGAGAAAACTCCAATAGAACAACCACTAATCCAAAAAAATGCAATCAACACCCAGAGATGAATGCAAACTACAAACAACTAATAACAAGCTAGGAGAAGAAAAATAGAAGCAAAAAACAAAAAAAAAAACAACACAAAAAAGGAGAAACAATCTCACAAACAGGCACAAAAAAATCTAATCAATAATAAAGCAAACAACAACAATAGGACAGAGAAAAGGCAAGGCAAAACAAAACAAAATAAAACCAAGAATAAAACAAAACAAGAAAACAATAATAACAAAAATAAAAAGGGAAGGGAGAAAAAAGAAAAATTGGATAGTGAAGAAAGAGAAGACAGAGGTGTGTATGGACTTAGAACAGGGGATCGGAAATTAGATGTATACGTAGGATGAATTTTTAATGGAGTAAAAAGAGGGAATAGGGAAAATATAAAGCAGGAATAGGGTAAGAGAAACAGGACAACAAAATGGGATAAGTGAGGAAGAGAGTGTTGGATAAAGGTAAAGTTGAGATAGAGTAAAATGATGCTAAAGGAAAAATGAAAATAGAATGTAGAACACTAATCCCAAAATAATATAAAGAGAAAATAAAACGACACTTTAAAAAAAGGTAAAATAGTAGTGGTAATACTGATTAAAAATAAAAATATAGGCTTCTGTCGTGAGTGGCACACATAGAGCAGCCTGATTGCTCTACGTGTGGAATCGACATCAAGAGATTTCGGAAGCATAATTTTTTGGTACTTGGGCAGCTGGTGATCATTGGTCCTGGTGCCCATAAAATAAATAAATAAATAAATAAATAAATAAATAAATAAAATAAAATAAAAATATAATTATTAAAAAATTAGTTTCTTAAGCAAAAGATGAAAAAATAAAAATGTGCATCATTCACTTCCTCTACTGTTCTGTTTGGCACACCTGTTTCCTGTAGGCAGTCAGACAATATTGAAATTCCCTGCGTTCCACTGCTCCTCTGTGTTGTAAGCCACAGTCCTGATTTTCAAGCAGGCAGTATTTCTTTGTGTCTTAGACTCCTTTATTTGTGTTTACACAAGACTCAATTTGTGATTTAACCCCTGGGTGGCAGTGTTTCTGGATTGACCTCCGGGGCTATAAGTCCTCTCTAGCCAGTATTTAGATTTTGTTTTCCCTGTCGCACTTAATACTGACTTGGGAGAATGGATTGCCCCAGAGGTAGTTCTCTGATCGTTACTCCCCGCTCTGATCCCCAGGTTCCACGAAAACAACTTTCCCCTGCAGTCTCTTAGAGTGTCCCTAATTGGGTGATCCTATGTACTAGGGTTAGTAATCAAAAGCAAGGATTTAAAGAGAAAAAAAAAGAGCCAGAGTAAGTGTGTGACCTTGGGACTTTTACCCTCTGGAACTGCACACAACTCTGTGAATGTCTCTGTGCAGTCTTTTTTTCCCCTGGCACTAAGCAGCCGGCACACTGGTAAAATTTCAGGGTGCCTTTTTGCGCCCAGTCCAGCTATGGGTTGATTTTTAGAGTTCTTCCAGGAGCCCTGTGGATCCCCTTCCACATTCACGGATCACGCTAGCCCCAATGGCCGCAGATGTTGTGGGGTGCAGACTTCCCCCGAACCTCTAGATCCCGTTCGCACATTTCTCTCTCCTGCCTGGATCGCAGACCTCACCTTTCCCTAGGTGAAATCTGACCTTTCCGTGAGAAGGTGCAGCGCTCATCCAAGTCTGCGTATTCATGCTGCTTGAGATCCAGTGTTCCTGGGTTCACAGCTGGCCCCTGGGTGTTGTGGTTGTAGAGTCCCAGGATGTATAGGCTTCTGATAACAGATACTCTCCCCCTTCGAGATGGCGTGGTCTCCGCAGCAGAGCTGGTCGCTCTGGGAGAGATTTCAGCAGCAGTGGAGGCTGCCTGGTCAGGGGAGCCCGGTCTGGCAGTCGCCAACAGTCCCTTGGAATACAGCTGTCCCTCACCCACAAATGTCCACACACTCTCCTTTCGTTCTCTCACTCACACACTATCTTGCAGTCTGCCTTCCCGTCAGCAGCCATCCTCTCCCTTTGACTCACTTTCATTTGGCTTCTGTGGTACAACTATTAGTTGTCCTTCCATCTCACTGATCCTGCTTTGATGGTCTTTTATCCTTGAACTCTCAAGGTGGATCAGTCCTTTATGTTCTTTTCTCTCGCCACACTCAGGTCCTTAATGATCTTGTCCTGCCTCATGATTTTAAATAACTATACGTAATAATTAGCAAATTAATATAATCTCTAGAATAGTACAAATTAGAACATCCAGGTGCTCACTCAATATTGTTATTTTCCCATCTCAGCTGATGAGAACATCTTTCCAGTTACTTGAGCCCTAAACTTTTGGGTCAGTACCCTAGACTTTTTTCTCTTACACCTGACATCTAACCCCCAAACAAATTTTGCTTGCTCCATCATATTTACCATATATCTAGACTCCAACCACTTTTCACCATTGTTGCTACTCTGGTCTGAGCTACTATCATCATTTATCTGAATTAATGCCATAACCTCTACTCATAGCCACTTAGACTTTTAAAATTTTAAACACAATAGCAATATGTCAGATCATGTCCTCTGCTCAAAATACAAAATGACTTACAAGGTATAGTCATTATCTCTCTTACCTCCTTTATCAATCACCCATCAGCACAAACCTTTACAATATCTCCACTGGTGTTCCTCAAACACACCAGCAATGTAAGGGCCTTTGCTCTTTTTCCTCTGCCTGGAATGCCCTTCCCTTAGATAATGATTTACTCCTTCACCTCTACAAATCTTGACTCAAATATTTCCTTCTCCATGGTCTACCCTGATCATTCTATTTCATATAGCAGCCTAAACTGTCATATCCCCCTCCACTCCTTTTGAAAATTTCCCCCTATAACACGTATGTTCTAACATACTCTACAATGTATTATTCTATCTTCTCCTTCTAGAATTGTTCATTGATATACACCAAATACCGAAAAGAGTAGCTGAAATATTAAGTACTTAATAAATAAGAACATTGGGAAAGCATTTTAAATTCTTTTTTTTCTTTTGTTAACAGATTCACTGCGTTTGCAAGGATTAGCAATGGTCTCATTTCTTGTTTAGCTGCTACTTTAAATCATTGTAAGTGGCTTCAGTTAAAGAGTTTGGCATTTTGAATCCCACAAGGATCAAAGTTCTAAAATTTACCATCAACCTGGATTGAGCACCTACATCTCTCAACAAAGCAATATTGTTTTCAACCTCTGAAAGCACCCTCTTTATCTAACTCTCCACTAAATTTCTTTCACAGGACATTACCAAATGCAGAAAGAAGCATCCAATACCTACATTCTGAATCACTCCTATTATTTTTCCTAACATCATAGTCTTAATTGGCACAAGATATGCCTTGTGAGATAAAGTGGGAGTCTGACCAAATGTCTTGTGTATAAAAACAATTGTCAGTTTTCTAGTCTGAGATAGGTAGATCCTCATTCTCCATAGCCCTAAAGCAGTGCCACATTTGAGATTTCCTTACCCACAGGACTCCACATCCAGATATAAAATTTTATATCCTTAATAATTTTGTCAACAAGAAAATAACAATAGTATCAATAAGTAAGTTTATTTTCATTTCTATATAAAGAAATACAGGAAGACCAAAGTTGTTGTGGCTGTTGTATAAAATCAGCAGAGGTGTATATTTTGTTTTTCTGCTCCACCATCCTTAATACCCATTCTCAAAGTTCCCATAAAACTGCCAGCACTACAGGTTAAATGTCCACATTGTAGACAGAGGGAAAATAGAGGAAAAGGGGTTAAATGTCCTAATCATACAAAATATCATTTCCACTTTGATCAGCAAGGAAAGCTTACATAGGTTTTCAATCAAGAATTCATTTACTAAAAAAGGGAAATGGATATTGGGCAGAAAAACAGCAGTCTCTGACATAGACTCATTTTTTCATTGCAAAACAGTCTGTAATGTCAGTTTTTATTTTCATGTTAATCAAAATCTGTAAACCTAAGTTTTTAAAAAGTTCCTAGTAGAAAGATTTATTATGGTTATCCATTTCTAAATAATAATCTTGAATTGTGGTTAGAAATAGAAAATATGAGTTGTTGGACTTTGTTACAATTCACTTAAAACCTCGTCAACAATCCACTCATTAAACCTACAGTGGTTTTTTTTAAATATACAGTATGAATTTCCTCTTATAGCATATTGGATCAAATCTAAATAAAAGCTTGCTCACATTTATTATAGCATACAGTGTTCCCCATTCAAATAATTGGGGTTAAATGTTAAATGGAATATTTCTCGATATTCATTATACTCATAAGTGTCCTTCTCTCATGCAAATTATCTAACACTATAATAACAGCTAATATCTGTGCTATGCTATGTTCAAGGCACTGCTCTAAAAGCTTTACATGTAACAACTCACATAATACTTTCAAGAATTTGATAAGGAAGGTATTAGGTTTTCTTACAAATGATTAAACTAAAGGTTATCATAACAAATGTCACAAAGGGAAGCAACTGATAGAGTCAAGATAATGCTTAAAAAGACATGCTATGGCTGAAGGCCTTCTAATATTTATTACATTACTATTGATTAAAATTCACCAAAGTTTAATCAGTTTCTAGTAATAAATTTTTCTATATGGATTACATTATCACTCTTCCGCAAATAAATTCACTGATGCAGAGTTTTATGAGAAAGTGTACTCCCATATTCACATTTTAAGAATTCTTTGATTATAATGGATTAATGACCACAGAAATCTCTTTATTAATCACAAAGTTTCAAATTCATATATAAACTTGTGAGCTATGAGTCAAGTCTATTCCACATTCCTTATATTTAAAAGATTTCTCACTGATATGAATTCTCTGATGTTGAGTTAGTTGTGAACCACGAGTAAAGGCCTTCCCACATTCCTTACATTGATATGGTTTCTCACCAGTATGAACTCTCTGATGTCGAGAAAGGTGTGAGCTCTGAGTAAAGGCTTTTCCACATTCTTTGCATTCATAGGGCTTCTCACCAGTATGGATTCTTTGATGTAAAGTAAGTTGAGAACCATGACTAAAGGCTTTCCCACATTCCTTGCATTCATAGGGTTTTTCTCCAGTGTGAATTCGCTGATGTTGAGTAAGTTGTGAACCACGAATAAAGGCCTTCCCACATTCCTTACACTGATAAGGTTTCTCACCTGTATGAATTCTCTGATGCTGTATAAGTAGTAAGCCACGAGCAAAGGCCTTTCCACAGTCATTACATACATATGGCTTCTCACCAGTATGAAGTCTCTGATGTTGAGAAAGATGTGAACTCTGAGTAAAGGCCATTCTACATTCTTTACATTCATAAGGTTTCTCACCAGTATGAATTCTCTGATGTTGAGTAAGCTGTGAACCACGAATAAAAGACTTTCCACATTCCTTACATTCATAGGGTTTCTCACCAGTGTGAATTCTCTCATGTTGAGTAAGTTCTGAGCCACGACTAAAGGTCTTTCCACATTCTTTGCATTCATAGGGTTTCTCACCAGTATGAATCCTCTGATGCCGAGTAAGTAGTGAGCCTCTATTAAAGGCTTTTCCACATTCATTACATTGATAGGGTTTCTCACCAGTATGAATTCTCTGATGTTGAGTAAGTTGTGAACCATGATTAAAGGTCTTTCCACATTCCTTACATTCATAGGGCTTCTCATTGGTATGAATTCTCTGGTGTTGAGTAAGTTGTGAACCACGGATAAAGGCCTTCCCACACTGTTCACATTTATAGGGTTTTTCACCAGTATGAATCCTCTGATGTTGCATAAGTAATGAGCCACGAATAAAGGCCTTCCCACATTCTTTACATCCATATGGCTTTTCCCCATTATGAATTTTCTGATGTTGAGAAAGCTGTGAGCCACAAATAAAAGCTTTCCCACATTCCTTACATTCATAGGGTTTTTCACCAGTATGGATTCTCTTATGTAGAATAAGTTGTGAGAGCTGAGTAAAGACCTTTCTACATTCTTTACATTCATAGAGTTTCTCGCCAGTATGAAGTCTCTGGTGCAGTGTAAGTTGTGAGTTCTGAGTAAAGGCCTTCCCACATTCTTTACATTCATAAGGTTTCTCTCCAGTATGGACTTTTTGATGTCGGGTTAGTTGTGAACTACGAATAAAAGCTTTCCCACATTGTTCACATTTATATGGTTTTTCACCAGTATGAATTCTGTAATGTAAAATCAGTTGTGAGCTCTGAGTAAAGGCCTTCCCACATTCCTTGCATGCATATGGTTTCTCACCACTATGAAGTCTATGATGAAGACTGAGCTGTGAATCACGACTAAAGGCCTTCCCACATTGCTTACATTGATAGGGTTTTTCACCAGTATGAATACTCTGATGTTGAGTTAGGTGTGAGGCTCGTCTAAAGGCCTTCCCACATTCCTTACATTTATAGGGCTTCTCAGAATTACATGTGGGATATTGAGATAAGTAAGCATGCTGATTGAAAATAGACATTTTTTCATATATAATCATTCCTTGCCTGAAAAATTCCTTCTGATTTTCCAATGTGCCTCTGACTTCCAAATAATCTCTAGAAATAGACTTCTTAATATCATAGATTTGAAGCCTGTCATTCATTTCCCATTGAAATAATTCTGTTTCATAAGTATCTTCTTTTGGAGGTAAGTAATTATTGGCATATCTTGATGACAAATCTGAAAGATTAAAAAAATAATAATAATTTTGGTTGTCGTTTTAGAAGTAAAATTTCCATAGTAAAAAGGACTACATAGTAAAATATATAGGGAAATTATACCCATAAGAAATAACTGGCTTAGATCCATGTGTTTTTGAAATATTGCTTACTATGACCTATAGCAGTGATGGCGAAACTATGACACACATGTCAGAGGTGACACGCTAACTCATTTTGGTGACACGCATCGACAGAGACAAAAAATTGCATAATTCAAATATATGTCTCTCGCAACTGCCAGAGTTGGGCATCACTCGAGTAATATTATTACTCACGTTACTCATGATCAGTAATGCAATTCTAAACCGGATGTAAACATGTACATCGGTGTTGCGTAGCAAAGATACATAGTGAAAACATCCAAGATACATTGTTCCAATATTGACATTAATATAAAAAGGTTAAGAATTGCACTATAAAGAGATTAATCTTTACTCATGACATTTTATTCTTACTTGAGTGACAAAATGCCCAATTCTGGAAATGGCCTCGTTATTGTCAACATGTGCCTCGGGTAAGCTTCCCGTGCATGCATTCGGCAAACGGACGCACTTGATCACCATGTTCGTTAGGAGGCAGGAGTGGGAGGGTTAGAAGAAAAAGATATACAGTGCAACAGTGCTCGGCGAGACATTCTGCGTGTCGGATAATTGATTACAGCACCATATATTTGTTGGTTATACATACTATCTTTGAATTGTTTTGCACCAGGAGTCAGTGCAACAACACTGCAAAAAGTTAATAGGTAAGAAACCTATCAACCTTTTATAAAAAAACGCCGTGATTTATATTTATTCATTTTTGCAGCCTTGTCATGGAGAATAAAAAAAATAAAAAAGCAAGATTGAATGATAAAGAAGTGGAAGTAGCAGTAGCCGACCCTTTCAAGACATATGGACCAAGATGTAAGGGATTGTCGACAGAAACAACAGATCATTGTGCATACTGTGTAATGAAATGGTAATAAGCAGAATGTGGAATTAAAGAGACATTTTGAAATTAATTATTGTCAGCTCTTGAAAAAAAGTATCGATGAAAGGAAGGAATACATTTCTAGGCAGCTACACCTCTATAAAAGTCAATCAAATTTCATCATTAAATTTGTAAGATGCTCTACAAATTTAACATCAGCAAGTTACTGTATTGCTCACTCCATAGCTCAGCATGGAAAAGCCCTCAGTGACGGAGAATTTATTAAGGAAACATTTCTAAGATGTGCACCAGCTCTATTTCACAATATAAAAAATAAAGATGATATTATTAAAAGAATTTCTGAGTTACCACTCAGTAGAAATACTATCAAAGACAGAATAATAGATCTTAACAAAAACGTACAACATCAATTAAAAAAAGACTTAAATAGTTGTAAATATTTTTCGATTTTTCTTGATGAAACTACTGATGTCACATCAAATGCTTGGTTGGCCATTATTGCTAGATATTCTGATGGCCTCACAATGAGAGAAGAGTTGATAAAGTTAGAATCAGTGCCAATAAGTACATCAGGAAACAAAATATGTAAGGTTGTTATAAAAACATTCAGTGACCTAAACATTGATATCTCTAAAATTGTGTCAGTCACGACAGATGGGGCACCAAATATGGTGGGAAAAATGTGGGATTCCTGAAATTGTTTTTGGAAGCTATTAGACATCCACTTGTACCTTTTCATTGCATTATCCATCAGGAGGTGTTGTGTGCCAAATCGGGATTCTCAGAATTAAATGATTTAATGTCAGTTGTAACAAAAACTGTGAATTTTATAGCTTCTCAACCCCTTCACAAGCGAGAATTTTCTGCACTTTTACAGGAAGTTGATTCAACCTACAGTGGACTACTGATGTTCAATAATGTGAGATGGCTGAGTCGAGGTAAAGTACTTGAGCGATTTGTGGAGTGCTTTGAAGAAATTACGGTATTTATTGAGAAGGAGGATCTGGCAAACTTTCCTCAGATCAATGATCATAAGTGGGTCAGCAATTTGATGTTTTTTACAGATCTCTCTGTTCATATGAATGAACTGAATTTAAAATTACAAAGTATTGACGTTATGTTTGGATACATCAAATCTTTTGAAAGTAAACTTAAAATTTTCAAGCGAGATATTGAAACTAAAACTTATAAGTATTTTCCTCGGATAAAAAAGTATTTCGAGAAGGCCACTACAACGAGTGTAATGGAGTCCATACTTATGTACCAGAATATAGTAAACTCATTATCTGAACAGTTCAGTGAAAGATTCGACCAATTTAGAAGCCTAGAACAGACCATTAAAATAATTAAGTATCCGGATGTAGTTGTTTACAGTACTTTGGAATTAAAGGATTTCCAATAGATGCAAATTGACGATTTAGAGATGCAACTTGCAGATTTTCAAGGTAGCATTTAGTCTCATGTGTTTGTCGACTTAAGGTCGAAACTTGAAAATCTGGGACGAAATTGTTTGAATAATGAAGAAGAGTGCAACTACAAACAAGAAATTTTGAGTGCTTGGAACAGAGTACCTGACACTTTTAGCGACATAAAAAATCTAGCGATGGCTTTGCTAACAATTTTTTCATCAACATATTTTTGTGAGACTTTGTTCTCAGCATTAAATAACATTAAAACGAACAAAAGAAACCGGCTAACAGATGAAGTTAGTGGCACTTGCTTGGCCTTGAAGTGCACCAAGTATGAACCTGCAATCAAAGAATTAGCAGACTAACTTCAGCACCAAAAAAGTCACTAATTTCTAGTTTTCATACCATTTGATTATCATTTTTTAAATTATTTTTTCCTAAATGTACATTGTTTTTCTGTTTTTGTCCATTTTATACATATTTTTTGGTTGATTTTTCTTGTTAAATGGCATTTAAATATATAAAATCAATATCAAAAATATAAATATTTTTTTACTATGGTTGCAAATATCAAAAAAAAATTATGAATATTTCTATATGTGACACAGCACCAGAGTTAAGTTAGGGTTTTTCAAAATTTTGACACACCGAGTTCAAAAGGTTTGCCATCACTGATCTAAATAATACACAGTCACAAATGCAAACAGACAGCCACAATGGGGAGACAGAGAAACAACCCCCAAATGAAAGAACTAGAGAATTCTCCAGAATAAGAGATAAATGAAGCAGAGATAAGAAATTTATTTGAAAGAGAGTTCAGAGTAATGATGATAAAGATGCTCAATAGCGTGAAAAAAAGATACAGTAACCCGGCAAAAAGAACAGCCGGAGATAAAGAATGATATAACATACAAAAAAATAACATATTGGAAGGAATACACAGCAGATTAGGGGAAGCTGAGGATTGAATCAGTGAATTAAAAGACAGAGTTGAAAATATCACTCAATCAGAGAACCAAAAAGAAAAAACAATTAAAAAACATCAGGAAAACTTAAGGGAGCTGTGAGACAATGTGAAATGTAACAATATTAGAATAGCAGGTATGCCAGAAGAGGCAGAAAGGGAGACAGGGATAGAGAACGTGTTTGAAGAAATAATGGCAGAAAACTTCCCTAACCAGGTAAAGGAAAAAGTCACACAAGTTCAGAAAGCATAGAGAACCCCAAGCAAGAAGAACCCAAACAGGCCCACACCCTTACACATCATAATTGAAATGCCAAAAATTAAAGAGAAAGAGAGAATCTTAAAGGTAGCAACAGAAAAACAAACTATTACCTACAAAGGAGTTCCCATAAAGCTGACACCTGATTTCCCATCAGAAGCTCTACAGGCGAAAAGGGAATGGCATGAAGTACTCAAGGTAATGGAAAGCAAGGATCTGACAGCACGATTACTATATCCAGCAAGGCAATCATTCAAAATAGACAATCAAATAAAGACTTTCCCAGACAAAAAAAAAAAAAAGACTAAAGAAATACATCACCACCAGGCCAGCATTACAAGAAATGCTAAAGGGACTGTTGTAATGAGAAGAGGAAACAGAGAGAGAAACGTAGCCATACAGAATTTAAAAGGCAATAAATAAGTACCTATCAATAACATCAAATATAAATGGATTAAATGCTCCAGTCAAAATGCATAGAGTGGATGAATGGATACAAAAACATGACCCAACTATATGCTGTCTACAAGAGGCCCACCACAGAACAAGGGACTCACACAGAAAGAAAGTGAAAGGATGGAAAATTTTTTTTTCATGCAAATGGAAAAGAAAAAAAAGCTGGAGTAGCAATACCTATATCTGACAAAATATACCTCAAAGTGAAGGCCATCACAAGAGACAACAAAGGTCACTACATAATACTAAAGAGATTGATCCAACAAGTAACTATAACCCTGGTAAACATATATGCACCCAATGTAGGAGCACCCAAATGCATTAAAAAAAAAAAAAAAAACAACCTCTGGAAGATATTAGGGGAGAGATCAACAGCAATACAATCACAGTAGGGGACTTTTTTACCCCATTGACATCACTGGATAAATCACATAGACAAAAAATCAGCAAAGAAACGGCAATCCTAAATGACTCCCTAGATCAGATGGAATTAATTGACATCTTCAGAACATTTCACCCCAAAGATACAGAATATACATTCTTCTCAAGTGCACATGGGACATTTTTAAAGATAAACCAAATATTGGGATACAGGCAAAGTCTCTCCAAATTCAAGAAGACTGAAATCATATCAAGCATGTTCTCAGATCACAATGGCATAATATTAGAAATAAACTACAATAAAAACATTCAAAAAATTCAAACACTTGGAGGCTAAATAGCATGTTATTAAAGAATGATTGGGTTACCAAAGAGATCAAAGAAGATATTAAAAACATCCTGGAAACAAATGACAATGAAAACACAACAATCCAAAATCTATGGGACGCAGTGAAAGCAGTAGTGAGGGAATTTCATAGCATTACAGGCATACCTCAAGAAAAAAAAAACTGTAATAAATTATCTAACTCTACAACTTAAAGAATTAGAAAGAGAAC